TTGGGTCGCACAGAACAGGTTGCAGGCTGGCCCAGCCTGTGAGGAGAGGTGTGCTGACCCCATCTACATTCTTGGAGAGACACGAGGCTTCACTCTCCGACTTCACCGTGTCTTCACCAACCTTACTCTCTCAGGGGCTGCTTCCTTTCCTCTCTGCCGCTGCTGCTGGGCTGGGGGGACATTAAAAATGACTGATATAACATAAAAAGATGAAGGTTTTTTAATGTCTGTTTAGCCTATCTGGAAGATTTTTTTTTCAGGTTTATTTCTTAAACATCTAAGAGGACATTACAGTCTGAGATTATGAAATTAGAGAGGTTATCATCTACTTTCCATTATTAAAAAAAAAATTATTGATTTTTTACAGAGATGAAGGGAGAGAGATAGTTAGAAACATCGATGAGAGAGTCATCGATCAGCTGCCTCTTGCACATCCCCCATCGGGGATGAGCCCACAACCCAGGTACATGCCCTTGAGTGGAATCGAACCCGGGACTGTTCAGTCCACAGGGCGACGCTCTATCCACTGAACCAAACCGGTTTCGGCTATTTTCCATTGCTTTTAAGAAGATATTGGGAGGGCCAATGGTAAGATATGTACACATATAATACCTTAATAAAAAAATGAAAAAAATAAATTACATAGACAAAAAAAGAAGATATGTCTTAAGTCCTACTACTGTGACTTACTCAATAAAAACACAGGCATTTAAGGAAATGCACATTTTCATTTTTAATAAACCACATGGCAAAACAATACTTTATTCAATAAAGGTATAGGAAATTACAATTTAAAAATTGTAAATACAGTACATATACTATACTTTGATTTTAAATTATATGAAGAAACACCAGCTTCCAAATCTTTCTAGAATCAATCATATGCAAAATACTGGTTTCTGAAGGGCTAGAAGGAAAAGTACTTACAACTTGTTAAACTGCGATATGGCTTACTTAGCAACATCTATTTAGAAAAGCACAAACTTTCCAGATGTACAGTATCTCCCATGTGCAAAGCGGACACACTGGCACATCCCAGTTTTCTGTTGTGGTTATTTCATAAAATATGTAATTGCAGTAAATTGACACTGCCAGAGAAAGTCCCCATGAAGCTTCTCCCACCTTACTGAAGCTGTTGGTCCTCACAGTGTAACTGGAAAAAGAGGTAAACCCCTTTGCAGCCAGAACTCAAAGGACAGGCTGGCAGGACGGGCACGCGCGCACACACACACACAATCCAATCCTGAGGAGCTCCCACAGTTATCCCCTCCGACTTCTGTGCTCCCAGCACCACCAATGATGTCCCTGCCTGGCAGTCTCTGACACAAGTCTGAAGCCCTGCCTGGAGATTCACATAACGGATCTGCGGTTGGGCATTTGGGTTAGAAACATATGAAGCTTAATCAGTTACTTGGAGATCAGACTTGCCTCCCCTCAACACAGCATAGCGAAAAGTCACTTCCTTTGTGACTAATACCCAAATGGTTCAGGAACCAAATGAACTGATCTTATACTTAGGAAGATATTCTGTAACTTTAAGTTTAGTGTATGAAAGTATTCAACAGAAAAATTGCCTAAAACCTTGTATTACAGGGGCTCAGTTTCTGTAAGAACACCTTATTCCTTAAGACGAAACAGTGAACATAACTGCATAAGAAGAAAATTAATTTAGCGATTGTCGTGTTTGAGAAAGGAATGATCTCCCTTCCACAGGAGTGGGGGTGGGAGTTCAAGCAGCACAGCTTGGCATCTCACTAGCCGTGACCTTCACTCGCGTCTGCAGTGCCGTCTGTTTCTCCTGCCTGCATTCTGTGTCAGAGATTCTGAATCAGAACCAGCAGCTGCTGGAAAAATGGTTTTTCCCACCCAGAAGCATCTGTAAAGTGGTGCTTTGTTTCTGAAAGATGTTTTCCCCCCCTCACATTAAAATGAAAGGGAAGCTGATGTCTATGTCTGTTCTGGGAAAATTCTACCAAAGATAAACACTGTCAGTGAGGACGTCTGGGCTCGACAGACAGAATAGAACACTGAGACTCCGAGAGCAGGAAACTTCGGTTCAGAGATGGAATATGGCATCCAGAGTTGAAAAAGAAACAGAAAGATATCCAGTGAGCTGGCACGCAATACTGATGGGAGCCGCGGGTTGTGAAAATCTGGGCTCACGCTCCACAGGCAGAGCTAATGGGAAGTGCACGGGAATGACTTCACTTCGGTTCTGCCTTTCAAAGCTGAAACATGTCCTATTCCACGGCACTCCCCACAGTGTATTTCTAAGGCAGCTCAGTCATCAACGAAACAATAGGCCTTTCCTAAGATAAACTAGAAGGCTGATCTGGCCAGACTTGTCAAACACAGGCTTATGAACAAAACTAACTTTGATTATTTGCGAATGTTAATGAAAACACATTGCACTGAAGAACTGCCTAGTTTTTGTTAGGATGTTTTCCCAGCGAACAATTGTAGGTGTTTAGCCAGGCTCAGCTGTGCTTTTCACAGGACAATGGACGGCTCTTTCTCTGAGCCTGGCTGCGCTGTGTAGCTGGTGGCTGCAGCTCGGGGGGGGGGGGGGGGGGGGGGGGGGGGCCGCACAGACCCCACGCTCTGTGTCTGTGTCAGACGCTGTGCAGCCCCTGCTCCAATGTGCTAAGTTCACATCCTTCTCTATAGGTCAAGTTACAAAGAGTTAAATCTATCAATTATCAAATCTCACAGACCCAGTAAAATATAAGTGTAAAATCTGTAGTTGCTGCAAAAAAAACAACACAAACACAAACCCACACAACCAAGCACAGAAAACTTCATGTGTACCTAATTTTAAACAGAACATAATAATTAAGATTTACAAAAGTTGTCAGTGTTTCTCTATTTTATAAAAGGATCCTTTTCAATCCTCAAATGGATTGCAGACTGTTTTACTCAATAACTTTTCAAGGAACAGGTCGAAGTGAAAAGTCAGATAAACCTTTTAAGGTAAAAGAAAGTTACAAGAAACGAGCTCAGTAGATATGGGAACAGCTGCAAATATGGAGAAACCTATTCACACACAGGCACCTTCTCTTCTTTTCTCTGCTACATGTCCACAGTTCGTAAGTGCCCAGATGTGCACTGACATGCCCTCGTTTATTTTCACTTGCATTCTACATTTAAGATTATTTTTTGAAATACAGAACACTATACAATAAAAAAAGAGTATTTTTATAAGTTCCTAAAATTTTTAAAAAATTAAAATCATTATTTTAAATGGATTCACAATAAGACTCCCATAACATTTTCAATTCAATTCAATAAATTCTGGGCCTTATTAGGTACCATTAACACTCACCAAACCTTTTGTTGGACACTATCAACTCTTAATACTCTTTTAGGTGAATCCAGGTTTTATCTTAGGTTTACTTAGAGTAATACGGTCCTTGGCAGAAACATGAAATCTGTTTCTTATTCTTCACTTACATTTTAAGTCACCGACCTGCCTATCTAAGGATTTTATCTCACAGCCTGTCTGGTACATGTTACTTATCCGGATTCTCTGCTGAAACGGACTCCTCACGTGCACTAAATATAATCCCCAAGCCAACAGTTGACATGAATATTCACAGTTGCCTCTTTAATACAACTGTTACCAGTTAGGTTGCCTTCTGTTTGGAAACGTTTATGCTTAACTTCCCTACCACACAGATCTAATGTCCATCCTATTCCAGTGCTTTAACACATGCACGTGCGCGTGTGCGCGCACACGTGTACACACACACAAACACACACACACACACTCTCTCCAAAACCCTTAAAATTTTTGTCTTCTCAAAATCATGTCCTTCCCCAATCCTTTTCAGTATTTCTGCTATGGTATTATTGGAAAACCTCAAAATTATATCTTAGGGATTCTGGAGCCCGTGGAGAATTCCTAATTCATATCATCATGCAGAAATTCTCTCTGGAGAAATGTAGTTAATCTGCATGAGAGAGAGAAGGGTATTGAAATTGAACCCTGGCCCTCTACAGCTCTACCCTGAAAGGCACGCAGATGACCTGATATGGAGGCAGGAAGCAAGGTACCAAGCAAACTTTCTGTTCAAACGTAAGGCAGTTTCTTAAAGGACAAAGCATCATTGTTTACATTTTGTGTAACTTGCTGTTCGTAAGCAAAGATAAACCCATGGACAATACAAGTGATTTCAGAAAGACTTAAACCTGAAACCCCACACCCCATTCTTTCTCCTGTATTTTGTTCAAATTATCATATAGTGACTTCTTTTTAAGATTAGCTTCTGCCATTCAGAATACTGAAAATATTTCCATAAGCAATTTAATGACAGTGACCACAATATGTAAAGATTTTGTTCTGATAAAATTACAAATAACCAAAATTTTGAGATTCAAAATCCTGTAATATCTGGAAAATTTTGTTTATAAAGTATAATAATACCATTAAGACTTACTTGTGAAATAAAACATATCTGAAACATTTAGGAATGCATGCTTATTCCACTCTGGATAATTACTAGTACTTTCTGAAATCTGTTGAGAAATACTTTCTGTAAAAAGAGAGAGCTGGTTGTCAAATTCCAGAAGCTGGGTATCAAGATTACATTAAAAAAATCAGTTTTCCAGCTCTGGTTTGATAGAAGTGGGCTTTAAAAAGGATTTTTAAATGCAAATACAGAACTCTTGATGCTTCTTTATGACATACTCTGTTGTGATTGTGAAGTATGGTCTTCGATTGTCTTCTCTGAGGTATCTGTAGAGTCAGTCTCATTCTGTAAACAGTGTTTTGGAAACATCTTCATCTGAAAATCAGGGAGAAGTCTCACTTTACCATTTGACAGGAACTAGCACTCTCAGGCTGATGCGAGGCCAGTGCATGGACGCAGCTGTCAGGAACTTCGAGGCCAGTGCATGGGCGGGCGAGGCTGTCAGAAATTCCATTCTCCCATTCACGAGTCATTTATTGCTCTCAAGTCTGTGACTGCAGGGTAGATAAGGCAGTAGCCCCCCAGACAGTTTCAAATAGAACTGGCATTCTGACAGTTTGCACAAGTTCTGTCCATGTCTTGCCTGTAACTCTGAAGCTGAATAGTACATTTATACATGCCAAATGTGTTCAACAACAAATGCCTGGCTTTGGACTGTACCTCCTCCCATTTAGATGAACTTCCAGGAACTGCAATGCCAAGAACATATCATTACTATTCATTGTACATTACACATTAGTGAGTAAGACCCATGGAGAAAACAACCTTAATATACTCTGAACATGTTTTTACTAGTTCAATTTCTGCCCTCCTGAAGCTATTGTTAGAGAAGTGTCAGTTTGCCAAGCCAGATCAGCTCCTCGTTATCCCTACCTATCTCTCAGGTCCACTCTTGAGTAAAGAAAGGGATCTAGACATCAATTACATCTTTTGTACTTTTAAAAATAAAACTCATGTATGCGCTATTTTGATAAAAAAAAATCAAAAAGTATTGATCTATGAAATGATTTAAAGAAATAAAAACACAGGTTCTAGCTTTTATGTAGAAAAAGCATGGTAAATACACCTAGTGCATTTAATCTGAAGACAAAAATCTCTGTGTTACATCTCATCTCAAAGGGACAAAAATTATTGCTCTGTTATAAACAATGACCTGCAACTCATCTTTTGAAAAGCCCACACCTTCCCTTAAAACAAATCTTTCCAGAAGTCTTCCTACTTAATTTAAGCACAGCTGTTTAATCCCAAAGACAGAAGTCCACCAACCCCAGTATTCACCATCAGCAACATACTTAGCTGTATGTGTGCGATGGCCATGGGCTTTCCTGAAGTGAGAGACCAGACATTTAAATCTTCCACTGAATAGACATCTTCTATTTTCATCAAGGCTTCTTTGATATAGTCAACAGGCAAATGCCTTGGCACACCTATTAGTTCAGAATATATCATTTATAAGTAAAATTTACTTTAGGGGAAAAATTTATCTTAGGGGGGACTTCCCTTCAAAAAACAAACAAACAAACAAACAAACAAACAACTGGCTTTGCTAAATTCCTTTAAAAATGAACACTTTCCAATATATTAGTATTTTAAGATAAACCATGCACACATATAACAGGATATACACAAAAATGTTCATTCTCACTAAAAAGGTTAATTCTCATTAACCAGCCCAGGTTACTTCATTTAACAAACAAGCTAGGATAATAAAAAATAAGAAGAAAGGAACATCCAATGATGGCTAAGCTAGTGTTGAGAACTTATATTTACATGCTTATATGTAATATTGGTAAGGCAGGAATGCTGGAAATACAACAAAGCAGCAAATTAAATTGAAACTAATAAATTAATAAATCACTAAACATACTTGCATCAAGAATCAAAGAGTTGCATTCTTGTCCTAGCTCTGTATTTGGGTAACAGCATGGCCTTAATCAACTTATGCTACCCCTCTGAACCTCAATTTTCTTATTGGAAAATGGGAATAATAATGTCTGTCTTACCTACTTTTCTTAGCTATTATAAGGATCAAATAGGTAACATATGGGAGAGTGCATGGATTCCTATATGTCCTATACATGTAAGGTGGTGTTACTGAAGCCTAGTATCAGTAAAAACAAAAAAAGTCATGGCTCCTACCCTAGGATCTTCCCTGACCCCCAATCTGACTTAGAAATACATCTACAATGGGGATATTAATGAGATCTTACCTTCTAGTATTATAACTACTGTGTCCCATATAATGCGAAATGTTGTAAAAGCCACAAGTAATGAAAATACATATGTACAGATGGGATCAGCAATCTTGTATTCTGGCTGTGAGGTGACAGATAAAAATTGTGTGATTAAATATTGATAGACATATAATAGACTATAAAGCAAACTAAGGAATACTCTGTCCCCTGTCCTCTAGCAAGACTGCACAATACCTCTGAAACCGGGATGTTGCATCTGAGAAACTCTTTCCTGGATTGTTTAAATGCCTTTCCTTGTGGGACCTATTTTCAGCCGTTTAATGGTTTGTTCTATTCTTTTACTCTGTGCCTTCTCTAAATTGTCCACCCAGAACCACAGAGCGTCAGAGCTAGAAGGAGTGTTAGCAGTCATCAGTTGGATTTAAGCCCCTCATATTAAAGAGGAGGGAACTCAAATTTTGAGTTGAGGGATTTGCTTAAGGGGAAAGCATTAGTGACAGAGCCAATACTAGAACCCAGATCTCTGGACTTGACTACATGCACATTCTAGTATCTGGCAGTTACAGATCAGTTACTTCGTGACGTGATACCATGGTGTTCAGTGCTAACAAAAGAGCTGTATAGACGGGTGGTCAATTAGGTTTGCATAAGTGCAAAATGAATAGGAGTGGCACTGGTGTCCAGTATACTGATGAAAGACAATCAGTTTTAGTTTTGTTTTTTTTTAATTAACCCATACCCGACTAACCAATTTTTTCCACTGATTTTTAGATAGAAGGGAGAGAAGGATTCAGTGAGGCGGGAGAAAGAGAAACATTGATATGAGAGACACATTGACTGGCTGCCTCCTCCACATGCTCCCAACGGGCAGGGTATCGAACCTGCAACCTTTTGGTGCTCTATCTGATGCTCTAACCACGTGGACAGACTGGCCAGGGCCAATCCGTTTTAGTTTTAATGTTGAAATTAAATATATTTTAAAATAAAAAACCCCAGCAATCATAGTACCTTGAATCGTATGATGTAGGCAGCTATTAGCACACCGACACTTTGTACCAAATCCCCCAAAGCGTGTACAAATGCAGCTCTCACTGCCAAGCTGTCCTGCCTATGGTTGTGCCCATGCCCAGGACCTGTGGTAGGAGAATTTGAAGGCAGGGAGTGGGAATGGGCATGATGGTGTCCAGACTGGTTCAACAGAAACCCCATTCTGTTAAAAAAAAAAAAAAAAAAAAAAAGGAAAAGAAAATATTATTATTCTTCCTAATGCTATTGATAAAAATATTTATGACTAATCAGACATGAATGAGGCAACACAGAACTAAATATTTACTAAATATTTGAGCACCTTTTATGTATCAGGTACTATTTTATATGCTGGGTCAAAAGGGTAACTGAGACAGATCCTTATCTGCTTAGAGCTTACGTTCTAGTATGGAAGGCAGAGAAGTTAGCAAATAAATACCTAATGTACTGCTAGACAATGAGAAGGCATTGAAGAAAAGTAAAGCATTGCTGAGGGATGGAGAGTGATGGGGAGAGTGATCAGAGAAGGCCTCCCTTAGATTCCATCAGAGCAGAGACTTGAATGAAGCCAGGAAGCAAGTTATGGTGGAAGAGTGTTCTAGCAGGAGAAATACCAGGGTAAAGGCCCTGAGATGCAAAGGTGCTCTATGTGTTTAAAAAAAGGCAAGGCAGCCACTGTGGCTAGAATAAAGTCAGCAAGAGTTTGAAGAAGACAGCTATTAGCACCCCGACACTTTGTACCAAGTCCCCTAGGACATGAGTTGGAGTGGTACACAGGATATTAACTTGGGGTGATTATAACGTGTCAGTGTAGGTTCACCAATTGTAACAACGTACCACTCTAGTGAGGGATGCTGGTAATGGGGGAAGCCATGCACGTGTGGGGGCAGAGGGTTTGTGGGAAATCTTTGTACATTCCCCTCAATTTGCTCTGAACCTAAAACCGCTCTACAGAGTAAAGCCTGTTAAATTAAAAAAAAAAAAAAAAATAGAGCTTACATTACGTTGACTGCAACTCCAACAGCTGCGGTAATAAGCATTACATCTCCATTTATTTCATAATTCATATGGATAGTTCTTTGGACAGCTTCATACAGGAGAAATGCCATAAGTATATATACCAACAACACACTAATCATAGCTGACAAAACCTCTGGAGGGAAAATATAAAAAACAAATGTATTTGCAGCATGGTTATTACACTTCATACAAACTAAATATTGTACAATCTTTTATTTATTTAGATCTCTTTTCCTCTAAGAAGATAAAAGCACTATATCATTTGTCATGTTTTTCTTTAAAATTATTTTAAATAGCTTGATATTCAACATTTTTTAAAAATTAAGGTAAAGCTGACATTAATAGTTTATTAGTTTCAGATATACTATGTATATTTTTATTTAAAAAGGGTTTAGTAGTTTGATCTGAATCCCCTACTAACTTATTCCTACCACTTATGTCTTTAAATGCTACTTTCCCCTTATCTCTTTAGGGTCAAATTATGTGTGTTTATAGACCAAACACTTGGCAAAAAAATGAAAACCTGAGAAAAAATATTTGTAATGTATATGACTGCAGACTAATTTCCCAGTAGGCAAGTACATGTACAAATCATAACAAAGTGAACAACTCATCAGAAAAATGGGTGAAAAGCATAAACAGTAATATACAGAAAATAAACAGAAATGACCAATTTATCAAAATCAATCAAAATTCATAAATTCAGTAGGATTTCTTATTGGCCCTTACTAAATTGGCAATGATTAAAAATTTTGATACTAGACAGTGTCAGCAAGAATATACTGATGGAAAGTTCAAATAAATCTATCTGGAGAGCAGTTACCAAAATTAATAAAAATTTAAAATGCATGTATTCCTTGATACTAAGAATCTATCTGATATCTATAAGATTTTTCACTGCGGCTTTGTTGGTAGTATCAAGAAAGATCTGGAGACATCCTAAATGTTCCCCAATAAGTAACATAATGGATAAATGGTGGCATATACATATAATGGGATACCATACAACCATTATGTGTAAAAAAGAAAAAATAGGCACATTGGTAACTATAGGAAAGATAGACAAGAAAGTGTTAATCTGGGAAGTGGGAGGAGGAGCTTGGAGAATTTATTTTTAACTTTATTTTTTTCGGTAATGTTTAAAATGTCTAATTTAACCACAAACATGTATTACCTTTAGACTGAATAAAAACAAACACATTTTAATGCATTCAAGTATTCATGAATGTACTCTGATCCAGGAATTCCTCTTCTAGGAAGGACATACACAGTCATGCCAATTGAGTTGCACATGTGTAAAATGTGATATTTTATGAAGCTATTCATCAAGCACTGTATAAATAGCAAGTAATTGTAAACAATAAAAACGTTATTAGTATCGAATAGAAGCCTTATAACATGGAATGCTGTGCAGCTGTAAAAAAAGAGTAAGGCTCTTTATGTACTGACAAGGAATAAGTTCCAAAATACAAAGTAAAAAAGCAAAGAACACAATTGTGTATGGTGTTACCATTGTGTGAAAAGAAAAAAGAATGTCCTATCTAATAAAAGAGTAACATGCTAATTAGACCGGATGGCAGAATGACCTTCCAAATGACAATGGGTGGGGGGTGGGGCTTCGAGGGCCTACTCTTGAATGAATTTTGTAAAATTGGCCTCTAGTATATAAATAATGATCTGTAAATGCAGATCTGGAAGAATGTACAAAATACTGATAAAAAACTGGTTATGAGGAGAATGGGTGAGGAGACAGGGATGGCTTTGTTCTATATATGCTTTCATACCAGATAAATCTTCTACCATATAAGTATAAAGTACAGATTATTTTATATATTTTCAAAATAACAAAAAATAGGCAATGTAAAATATATGTTAAATAAATAAATAAATAAATAACATTGTTATATAAAACAAATGTTGACATTCAAAACAAGAAAATATATTTTTTAAAAATATATTTTATTGATTTTTACAAAGAAGAAGGGAGAGAGACAGAGAGCTAGAAACGTCAATGAGAGAGAAACATGGACCAGCTGCCTCTACACCCCCTACTGGGGATGTGCCCGCAACCAATGTACATGCCCCTGACGGGAATCGAATCCGGGACCTTTCAGTCCGCAGACCGAAGCTCTACCACTGAGCCAAACCGGTTTCGGCAAGAAAATACTTTTAAAGAAAAATTTTCCTTTAGAGACACCAGACATTAATCCTGTTAAGTGTTAAAAGGTTAAGGAATCTGGAAAACTGTTATCTGGGTCGACTCATTGCTCAAAGGTTCCAGGTAGTTCAAGTATATTGGACTTGGATACATTTTTATTCCAACCTTTAACTTACAATACAGAAAATTTATCTAGCAGTTAGAAACTATTTCCTGAAGACATTTCATTAATTTAGGTGAAATTCCAATAAAAGTTTGTACATGAACAGAACTAATGTTGGAATAAGACAAACACAATTACTACTCAAAACCATAGTACACTGTTAGTCACTCAATAGCCCAATCAATTATCAGATCAGTTTTGAGAGAGAGATCAACCACATTCATATAACTTTTATTATAGTATATTGTTATAATTTTTCTACTTTATTATTGTTGTTAATCTTTTTACTGTGCCTAATCTAGAAATTAATCTTTATCATAGATATAGGTATAAAAAAATAGCACAGTATATGTAGGGTTAGATACAATCCACAGTTTTAGGCATCCACTGGGGTCTTGGGATATATCCTCTATGAATAAAGGTTATTTATTAAATAACCCCAAAGGAAAAGTAAATAGGTTAAAATAATTTAGCCAAATATAAGACATAAAACACATGAATTTATTGTCTAAAGTTATAGCTGCTGATGGTAAAATACACACATAAATAACAAAGAAAAAAGAAATAATTAAAATATTTTAAACTGCCGAAACTGGTTTGGCTCAGTGGACAGAACGTCAGCCTGTGGACTGAAAGGTCCTGGGTTCGATTCCGGGCAAGGGCATGTACCTGGGTTGCGGGCACATCCCCTGTAGGGGGTGTACAAGAGGCAGCTGATCGATGATTCTAACTCTCTATCGTCATCTTTCCTCTCTGTAAAAAAATCAATAAAATGTATTTTTAAAAAAATATTTTAAACTGTAAAATTTTATTTACTGATGATAGCCTCATTTTACTCACCAAAAAAAGAACTTTCTCTTTAAAATTGGTATTTAAAAAATATTAATCCAAAAAAAGTTACCAACCCTATTCAAATTCTTCCTTAAAAAGACAATGTCAAGGTTGTACTGGCAATTAGGCCGCCATAGCAATAACATTTTTAAATGAGCAATTATAAAGCAATATAACTTATATTTAAATACACAAAGATGTAATTGCTTATAAAAATCTATAATCAACAATTTAAAATACTTTCAAAACCTCCTACTATTGGCTTGACCATACTTTCCAGTTTTCCAGTTTTCCCAGGATAGTTCCAATTTATGCCTGTGTCCTGGCATAATTATTAAAGAGTGTTCCATTTCACTCTCAAAAGTGTCCTGATTTGAATGATAAGTTCTATAGTTATTCTAGTTACGCAAGTTAAATTTGCATTTAGTTAAAAAATAAATGCTATATTAATATAACTATGTGCCATGCAATATTTCAGACACATTGGATATCGTATAATATTTCAGAGGAAGAGGGAATGTGTGGCATGCATGAGTTAAATCTGGTAAGCCCACATTCCAGTAATAATTTAGCTAAACATTTAAAATTACCTTTTTGTGAATTCTCAGTTATGGCAAAACCACCTTCAGAATAATGTAAAATGAAAGTCAAACTATAGGATAAACAGAGTTCTTTGTTTGGCAAGGAAGATTCCTAGCCCACTAGGAGCTGAAAATGCAGTTTTTCACAATATAGTTTTCACCCAGAGAGTAGCTTAAAAGGGATCCCAATGACTTCCCAAAGTTAAGAGTAATGGAATTCAGTGGATTCCTAGAAATTCCTAAATGACATATTAAGATACTGTCATCAATGACATCCCTTTTCCAGCAATTCATAAGGAATGTGCCTCACATCTAGTTCCCTTGGTGAAAAGCAAAGACATCCACTTGTTAGTTTTTATTCTAATTGACTGTAAAAATGTCTTCTAGCTAGAAAACTGATAAATGCAAAAGAAAAACACACACAGAATTTTAAGTAAAATTTTAGGACTGAGATTTATAATTGAGAAGTTTAAGGCATATATAATTCTACATAGCTAAAAATCCTAATAGTAATATGACTATTTTGTTCTGATAAAATGTACAAAAAGTTCTTTCATTGTGAATGAAACTTTGGTGAAATATGAATAGGACTAATTAGTGTTTAACATTTTTGCCTAGTATTTTTAACATGATGGAATGCAGATAAATAGAGGCACAATGCTTTTTTCCTCCAACAACGTTTAACAGAGGGAAATTATCATTCAACAATGAAATTATGACTTGCTCCAATCTTCTCATTCTTGCTCTGGGTTGGTCTAGTCACATAATGTATAATAAAGTTTTTCAAGACAAAGGAGTGCATAACATATACAGACTATTCACTTTCTAAAGGAGACCCAGGAACTTTCACAACTAAAACCCTAGATTTCTGTGAAAGTTACTACCCCATTAGCTTCAGAAAACTTGACTAAATGGAAATTTAACCAAAGTAAAAAACTCTCAAAAGATATTTTTGTGAAAATTCTTGAAAACCTATTATTAAGTAACTCTAACATATTTTACTACTTTATGCACAAATAATTAAAACACTACACTCAGCTGAACTAGTATTGAAGTAGTGTGAATAAACAGTTTTGGTTTGAATGGCCAATAAATTGGTGAAAGAAAAAATTAATTGGGAGAAAACACAGATGATTAATCAGTTTTGCTAGTACCATAAAATACAAAAAATGTTTATGTACATTTTAACACATCTATAAATTGCCAAAACTAGAGGTTTTCAATGTTCATATGAAAAATACTGAGTTCTTTTCCAACCTTTGTTATTCTACATCATAGTACCTTATTCTTTTCTTTGTAGCATTTAATACAATTTTTGAGTATGTTGTGCTTATGGTATATATTTACTGCCTGTCTCCCCACACTGTACTATTATTCATTCACTGAACAAGTAACTATTGAGTGCCTACTCAGTGAATGAGTAACAATCTGTTTCAACTATGTAATACCACACTCAGTCCCAGCACATTTATTTTTGTGTGAGTGCTGTCTAGAGGTACTGGTCTATGTTAACTGTTAACTTTACTAACACTGTGATGACAATAATGAATACATTTCCCTTAAATTATATAATGTTGTATTTCTTTTTCTTTTTTCTAATTGATTTTTTAAAGAGAGGAAGAGAGAGGGATAGAGAGTTAGAAACATCGATGAGAGAGAATCATCGATCAGCTGCCTCTTGCACACCTCCTACTGGGTATGTGCCTGCAACCAAGGTACATGCCCTTGACGGGAATCGAACCCAGGACCTTTCAGTCAGCAGGCTGATGCTCTATCCACTGAGCCAAGCCGGTTTTGGCATAATGTTGTCTTTCTATTGCCTCAATAGGAACTACACATAGCACATCTAAAAACCCATTTCAGAGGTCTATAGAAATCAATAGGAAAGGAAAGTGGAGATATCTCTCTCTCCCACTTCCTTTTATGCTATTTCTCTTTTCTACCTTCATCCAATAGAAGATAGGAAGGAAAGAGGAGAAAAATCAGTGAGCTATATTGGATCTGCCTAGGACTAATCTAATCTTTGTATTTCAACGCAGCCATAGATAACCCAACAACATTCAGGCTAAAGACATCATATAGGATTTCCAGTGGCCCACTTCTGCCACCAGAATGTCAAGCTAAACTGCAAAGTCGGTCTTTGGATCCTCTCACCTCCTATTCTAAGTAATCTCCTATTTTCTACCTTCTTACTGTTTTCTCTATTCATACTCAAGATACTCCAGTTGACTTTTGACTAGCCAACACTGACTACCTCTCTCATGTCTTCTGCCTCAATAAAAACTCTGAATTCTAGGAAGTACCTATTCTTTACCTAGAGATGTACATGTGATATGAATTAATTCTCACTAAGATGTGAATAATGAGTGGGCATAACTCATATCAGAGGGGGAGGAAGTTATTAAGATGAATCACTAACGAGAGAAGAGTGTTTTATTTTGTTTTAGCTGCATGTTTGGGGGAAGATAATTTTTAGCTGAATACTTTCTGCTAAATACTTTAGCATCAGGGAATAAATAACAAACTAGGTAGAATTAGCATTATCATCATATCCTAAAACAACAGTCATCTAGTCGGATCAGCTAAGGCCTTTGCTTAGTAAAACTACATACTACAAAAGACTCCCACACTATCACTTTGCCACTAACCTAGGCTGATGAGCTGCATTACCAAACTGTACATCTTGCTTTCTATTTCAAAAGCAGACAACTTTGCCTACTACATCCTATCACATGACCACTATCTTTATCTAATCCATCCAGCCTCTTCAGCCCCAGAAATGAAAGAATAAAGTCAATTATACTCATAATCCTCAGCGAAGGAATAAAGCAAGCAAGCAAGGGGATGTTCTCTTTAGAATAGCATGTCCCCTTGGTCTGAGAAACAGTGCCATTTTGCCTAAGGGTTTGTGGAATTTCTCCCCACAGTGTGGTTTCATTAAGTTTTAAATTTTATTAACTTCCAGGATGAGAGGGCAAACAACCCACAGTCAAATATATTCAGGCACTTAAAAATAACTCACATGTGGTTTTTACCCTCCTCTCCCTCTTCCCATAAAAGAGCTGCCACCATTGTTTACTGAAAGGAATAAAGAAAGAAAGAAAAAAAAAGAAAATCCTGAATGATTTTACACAATCTATGAGTTCACACGAAGGAAAGGAAAAGACCAACAGACTGGAAGTGATTCCTTGGGTTTACCCTTCAAACCCATACTACCTTTCTTTCACCATGATGGCATGATTTTTGCTAAAATATTGCTGCATTGCCAAAAATGTTACCAAAGACCAAGTCAAAAAGCACATCTTTTAAATTTGTTAATCATCAGATTGAATCATCTGACTTTTCTCCTACCTAGCTGAGACAGTTATGCTGAGAGAATAAGAATTTTGATATGGAAACAAGAGAAGGCAGGCAATTTAGAAGCATGAGTCATTTTGAGAGATATAAAGTCTAGTAGAAGAGGGAAGGAAAATATAACTGAAACTAACATTTATCGGAAATTTATTCTGTGCCAGGTATCCTGTTAGGCTTACCACCTTACCTTATGTATTTTTCACAATTCTGCAATGTATTATCATTCATAGTTTATAGAAGAAATTCATACTTAGAGGAATTAAATTATTTTCCATAAAGTCATATAGTTATTCAATTAATTCCCTTTTCAGCCCCAATTCTCACTTCTGATGCTCTGCTCCGAGCCTTCTTTGGAGGTCCGCTGGGCTGACCCAGTTCCTAGCGTGCTGTACTCTAGGCTGCAGCTTCTTGGCTTGTTTCTCCTTCAACCTACTCCCATCTACTTTCTTTCAGAGATTTCTGGAAATTTCTTGTTTATTGGTGACCCAGTATTGACTTCCCTTTGTTGTTCTGATACTTTTTATTTCAATGGACTCTCCGGAGAGACAGGAGTCAAATGCTGATATCTAGTCCACCATCCTGAACTTAGTATTTATAGGGAAAGGGAAATACCTGGCAGTCTGTAGGAATTTTCAGAGATATAATAGGACCAGTCAGTTCTATAGTTTCTCTCATCTTTTTATAGTGCTAATAAACTATGAAGAAACAAAGTGACCATCTAGTTAAATACTATATAGTTTGCACTCATTAGAGAGCCCAAGTACTTCTTCGATATTTAATAGAATTTTCATGATTATTGGCTTTTAATTTATTATATGTAGGACTTCCTATGTTGTATTACTGCATATTTCTGGGATACAGTGCCACTGACTTCATTAAATGAAATGTACTTTCTCAAACAGTGCTAGAGGGCAAAAATCCCTATTCTAGGATACTATGTTTTAGATCTTAAATTGCAGGTGTCTAAATCACAATAAAACTGGAAAACAAAAATTTTTTTTTAAAGGACAGAGTGTGTGTGTGTGGGGGGGGCAAGGGAGAGGAGGGAGGGAGGGAAGAAAGGAGGGAGGGAGGAAGGGAGGGAGGGAGGGAGGGAGGGAGGGAGGGAGGGAGGGAGGGAGGGAGGACGGACAGAAAGGAGCATTGATTGGCTGCGTCTCGTACATGCATGCCCTGACCAGGGATCTAACCTGCAATCTAGCTATGTGCCCTGACTGGGAATTGAACCCACAGCCTTTTGGTGTATGAAACCACACTCCAACCAATCCATCAGGTAAGAGCAATTTTAAAGTTGTAAAAAACCTTCAAGTCAATAAATTAACAAATGAGTGCTATGTTGGAAAGTAGTGGGTTTCTTTTAGGGACACATCCAAATGTATTATGTAGTGGCTTAAAAAATAACAGAAAAGCCTCACTCAAGGCTTTAGTTCTCTTGTATAGCAGTTGAGAGTGCTGAAGAGTGGAGATGCCAGGTAGTTTCCCAGCCTGATGTCAGCTATTCAGTTAAAATGTCAAATTATATACTAGAAGACCCAGTGATTACCTTTTAGAAGACCTAGATACTGAGTTAGTATTAGGTCAAAAAGTAACACAGGAGGGGAGGAAATGATTGATATATTAGCCAAGAGTCTACACAAAATAAAAAACAATATACTAATTCTGGTTCTTTAAAACAGGTTTTACAGAAGCTACCTAAATGTCACCTTTTGGGTTCTGAGCAAATGACATGAGGTCATAAGGCACTTCACATAATAGTAAAGGCAATTATTTTATACGTATTTTTTAAATAAGCAAAAAATTAAATAATAGTAACATAGCAAGAAGCAGTTGTATTTGACTATATATGATTTTAACCTTAATTAGATATTAATATGTTTAAAATAGTAAAATAAAATGTGTTCACTGTTAATGAAAAAAATGCATGACACTTGTTACAACATGGTAAAGAACACTTTATTCAAGAGGAGAAGCTACTGAGACAGGCATAGGGACCACTGCAATGGTATTTAGCAGTGGGAGGGAGAGTTTGGGCTCAACTCTGAATACTGTATGGGCAAGTGGGATTTATAGCCAAGAAGCAGGTTGGGAATCTGTGGGTGAAAAATTACTGAGGAAACATCAGGAGTGAGGGGGATTCTGATAAAACTGACAGAACAGAAGTCTTGTGAAAACAGGCTGTGGTGGCAAGACATCACTTGAAGGATAACTGGTAAGATATTGAGAGTGGGAGGCTTGGGAGAAGGTTCAGAAGACTAACTAAAATGTGATTAAGCAAAGAATCTTTGTCAGCATTTTCAGAATTGTGTTGATACAAGTGGCCTCAATGAAGGTCAGCCACACAGTATCTGTTATACGTATTAGAATAACCCTTAAAATCTTGGCCATAGTAGCCTTGGTTGAAATAACCTGAAGTAAAAGAAAGAAGCTAATGCTCATTAATGAATTACAGATACATAATTTTGCTTGATTCAGTAAACTGAAGGTAAACTTCTTGTATGATAACATCATTAGGACATAGGGAAATCATTTACAAATTAATGATTATCATATAATTTTATATGTGTAAACTGTTCAGCTGACTGGGCTGAAGTTCAGTACATGGGAAGAAATGTATCTGAGTAAATTCTGTTCACCCACTTTAATTTGCTTTGTTCATCTATTTCAACAGGCTTATCACCAGAAAGATTTCAGCTAATCAAAGGTTATAGTCCGTTATTGGTTTACCATAAAATGTTATAATCTAAAAAACACCTCCCAATTACCTACCTAAGCGATGAAATCCAAAGGTGAATCTTCTGGTTGGTGATTTTGAAGACAGCCACAAAGCAAGCAGGGTCAGTATGATAGCACTTAAGTCAGTTAACATATGAAGTGCATCTGTCATGACTGCTAGGCTATTTGCAATGTATCCACCTTAGGGTAAGGATAAGAGGGAAGAAGGAATATGTTAACTAAAATAAATGTAATAAACCCCAAAATATGTAACATCCTATAAAACATGAACTTCTAACTAAATCTTTATCCTATTATAATGAAATCAAGGTAACTGAAATTTTAAGCAAAACATTAAATATGCATATATTTTTCTAGTGAGAATGTCCATTTCTATGAATTGATTCTCTGAGGAGTCAACAACCTTAAAGAAGAATCACTAAACAGGGGCTAATACATAAAGAAGAATTTTGTTTTAGCACTGCAGCTTTTACTCAACCAACTGTCCTACTCTTAGTGAAATTAATAACCACAAAATCTACATATTATAATAAAGCTGAAGAAAAGGTAAGTATTCATTGTTTGGGAGAGTTTGAACATAAAATTAAACTGAAGAAACTCGTAAAATGTACATTAGCTTAAAATAAAAGATACAAATAACGGATTCAATTGGGTACACAACAGCAATGTCTCCTAATAGAGAGATAAAAGGTGGTATTTAAAATACACAATTTTGCCCTAACCAGTTTGGTTCAGTGGATAGAGCATTGGCCTGCGGACTGAAGGGTCTCAGGTTCGATTCTGGTCAAGAGCATGTGCCTTGGTTGCGGGCACATCCCCAGCAGGGGTGTACAGATGGTGGCTGATCCATGTTTCTCTTTCATTGATGTTTCTAACTCTATCCCTCCCTTCCTCTCTGTAAAAAATCAATAATATATATATTTAATAAAATAAAACACAATTTTAAATTTTATATTGATTTTCTAGACATTTTATATATATATATATATACACACCACATAATTTCACATATATGTCTGTGTGTAAATATATGTTGTTCCATTATGGTTATATAATTTTCCTATTACCATCCATTGCATAAGCTTTTATAATATAATACAGAGTATTCAAACTTTTATGGGTACCAGAATCATTTGGAAGTTTTGTAAAACTGCAGACTGCTTGACCTTTTAGACTCTCTAAGTAGGTCTGGATGGGACCTGAAAATTTACATTTCCAACATGTTCCCAGTGAGGCTGATGCTTCTGGGCTCAGAACCACACTTTGAGAATCACTGTTATGCTGTATTAGTGGTTCACGCACATTGAAAGAAAATTAAGAAATATTTCAATATCACTATTTGCTTTATCTCTATAATAGAATGTCAACCAAACTCATGATTGACAATGACAGATTGAAACACATGCATGCAATTGGCACCAGCAAGAGCTTTATATGTATCAACGTTTATTTTAAATTGCCAGTGCGTGTAATATGTACTGGCCGGTTGATCAGTTGGACAGATGGTCGGTTGGTCACTTAGCCTTTTATACATATAGATAGTGGAACTTCATGGTCAGGGTGTCTTGACATACTAGTGTGCTGGGTTGCTGATCTCCCTATTTCTAAGATGATTGTGCAGAGCCAGAAGCAGCAGAACTGGAGGCAGTGATTTTGTAGTCACATCCATGTACTCTAGTGTGTTCTATACAAATATAATTTTTATGTACAGTAGGTCCTCAGGTTACATCAGAGACCCATTTCTATGGTGAGATGTAACGCGATTTGCTGAAAGTCAGAACCCATCTACATAAACACCTATGTCACTCACATGGAGCACATACACAGCAGTAGTGAAGTGAAACAGTAAAAAAAATATAAAAGATAAAATTACTGACATTTACTTGTGGTAAATAAATAATAAAAACATAAAGCACATATGTATATATGCTGAAATGATAGAACTTTTTTTCTTATATAAATACTGTGAATGGGAGATGGTGATGTAACCATGAAATGATGTACGTCGAGTCTGATGTAACCTGAGGATTGCCTGTATTCCCTGACATGAAAATGCTGGAAATCACTGAGAAAAAATACAGGTTGGTTGTTAATAACATGGGGCTTTGGAATCTCAGAGATTCTAAGCTAGTTACTTACTAACATTTTGAGCCTCATTATTATAAAAGGAGGGTATGTTAAAGCCACATTGTCCAATAGAACTTTCTGAGATGATAGAAATGTCCATCTATACTATCTACTAGTCATATGTAGCCACTAGTCATATGTGACTTTTGAACATTTAAAATATGGCTAGTGTAACTGAGGGACTGAATTAAATATTTAATTTTAATTAACCTAAATTTACAGAGCCACACGTTGGTGATCATCAGCAAAAATAGCAGAGTAGGGACCTCTGAAAATCATCTTCATAAAAGCAATAAGAACATGGACAAGTCAGCTTATTTAAAACTCTAGAAATTACCTGAAAACTGTTATAGGTAGCTTTTATTCAAGGGAAATGGCGGAATCTTGATAAGAATAGTGAGCTCTGTGGCATTTCCCCGTATGTAGCTTTTTGGTAACCTTGAACACCAACAAGTGGCAATCCCAGTGAAAACCTCAGCAGGGCAGCCACTGCAAGGGACAGAATAGGGTTGGAGCTCCTTAAGAGCCCCATTCCCAGAACACTGTCTTTTATTTGACCTTGTCTCATGGTTCCCGGGAAGACCATACTTGCCAGGCTGTTTTTTCTTTTACTTGACTTGGAGTTCTGCCCTGTGCAAAAACAATCGGAGGCAATAGATAACAATGTGTTCCCCGTGTTCTGAAATTCAAAATAATGTACCCAATCTGATGGGCTTTTGTTGACTCCTTCAATCTGCAAAAGTATACCTTTCAGTTCTGGGGACATTTTCTAAACTACTGTAATACCCTCTCATCTAAAGGGGATATATTCTAAGACCCTTAGTGGATGCTGGAACTGTGGCTAGTGTTGAACCCTATATTTATACTATGTTCCTATACAGATACCTATGATAAAGTTTATGGCTTCTGTATGGCATAGGTAAGTTGTCAGCACTTTGGGGCCATTATTAAGTAACTAAGGATTATTTGAAGACAAGCACTGTGGACATCATGACAATCAAAAAGGCTACTAAGTGACTGTCAGGATGGATAGTGTGGACAAAGGGATAATTCACGTCTTAGGCAGGATGGAGCAGGACAGTGTGAGATTTCCTCATGTTAATCAGAACCAGTGCATATTTGAAAACTTATGAATTGTTTATTTTTGGAATTTTCCATATAATATTTTTGGACTATGGTTGACCACAGGTAACTGAAACTTGTGGAGAGTAAAACCACAGATAAGGGAGGACTACTGTATGTTGCTGATTTCTTTCCTTCTGCTTTCTTTGTTCTTTAAACTCCTATTACTTGATGTTTGGACTACGTAATATACTAATTTTCTTGCATTTTTTCTCCTATTACCCATTTCTACTTTTTTGCTCTCCTCTTGTCAGAGATTACCTTAGTTCATCTTCCAACTTTTCTGTGGAGTTAAAAAATTTTTGTGTGTTTTTATTGTTTAAAAGATGTTTTAAAAAACTTCCCCTAAGGGTTTTTTCTCCATTGATTTTTAGACAATGTGGAAGGGAAGGAGGATGGGGGGAGGGAGAGAGAGAAACATTGACATGAGAGACACATCAATAGTTTGCCTCCCACCCACGGTTGGGGCTGGAAACCCACAACTAAGGGAGGTGCCTTTGACCCCCGATTCAAAACCACAACCCTTTGGTCCTACGTTCTAACCACTGAGCAACAAGGCAGGGCTAAAACCTCTCTCTTCCTCCCCCCCCCCCCCCCCCCCTCGAATTTATTTAGCAAGATCAGCACCTCCTGGGAACTTGTCAGAAATGCAAACTCACAGGCCAGATCCCATAACTACTTAATTAGAAACTCTGGCCCAGCGTTGTGTTTAAGTTCTCTGGGTGTTTCTGATGTATTAGATTGGTTCTGGGCTTTCCCTATTGCTTGCTCAGGAGGTGGCTTCCTTGGATCTATTAAGTCAGTTTCCTCCTTTATCAGTTTCCTATATAGTTTCCCAAATTTGTGTTGTTATTGTCTCCCTTCCAGTTTTCCACATCTGTGTGGATATACATATCCCTTTACTGTAGTTTAAAAGAGGCTTCAGGAGAGAGTACAATTAGATGAATGAGTTCATTTGCCATCTTTATCTGCACTCACTTTTTAAACTTTTTCACTTCAATAAAAATGCAATTGTTAATCAACAACACTGTTATTAAACTCAAGGATACTTTTGTTCTCATCTTATTGGACCTCTTGCAGCTTCAACTTATTTATTGCCACTTTGAAATACTCCCTTTTCTTGGATTCTGAGATACCTGTTTGCTTTCTGCTTGATTTCTAAAGTTGGAGTTCCTCCAGACTTGGGCTCTTTAGGTGACTTTTTCCATTCCCACGGCATTACATATCTCTACCTTGACCTCTTTTCTGAACTGTAGACTCATATGCTCACTAGATATATTTACTTGGCTATTTCACGTACATATGAGAACACGGTTTAAAACAACCATAGCTAAATCCTGCTCTATATTTCCTCCCTGCTTCATAAATTACATACATTTCCATACACTCAGCTGCTTAGGTGAGAAACTTCAGAATTATTGCTGACACTGCTCTCCCATCAACCACCACAGCCAAACCACTAGCCAAGTTTGCCAATGTTTCCTCTAGAATGTTTCTCAACCAGTACGTACATTTTTCTCAAGCCACTGTGGTCCAAGCCATAAAAATCTCTTGTCTGGCTCCCTGCGATAGTTGTTTCCATTTCTGCACCCTCCAATCCATTCTCCAGGTAAGAGCCAGAGTAATCTTTTAAAAAGGTAAATCCTAACATATCACACTCTGCATAAAAGCCTTCACTGGCTTCCCATTGTATTTAGAATGAAAAACTACACTCATTTAACACGGTCCACTTAATACGGGACCTACCTGACCGGGTTCCCCCTGCCTCTTCCCCTCTTGTTTACTACATTGCAGCCAAACTGTTTATTCTCTAACACAATAAAAACGAACTCAACAGAAATTTAATGAGTGTCTACTTTGAGCCAATCATTGTTCTAGGTGCTGGGAATTCAGCTTACATTTCAGTGGAGAAAGACAAGATGTTACACAAGTAAATATACTAAAACAAGGAAATATCCAAAGAAGATAATCTCAGCTGTAGAGGGCTTTTATAGTTGGGGAGGGAGCAGGGGAGAAGGAAGGTTTAGTTAGAAGGGCTCTCAGAGGTTTCTTTTGAGATGAGACATAAATGACAAGAAACCTGCCAAGAGAAGATTTGGGAAAAGTCAATCCACATAAAGCAGTATTTTTCAAGCTGCAGACCCTGCTCTATTTGTGGACCCATGAAATCAATTTGAGTGGGGTGGAACCACAACTGAAAAAATATTAGAAGACATCACATGAAATAAAACTTTTCAGTTATACAGAGGTATGATGCACACCTACATGAATTACAGTGTTAACTGTATTTGAGGTCACTCTAGTGACCTCAAAATAACCTGCGAAGGCCTGAAGGGCAGGAAAGAGCTTTGTGAGTTATAGGGGAAAGGTGGCCAGCATGGCTGAAGAGGGCGCGGGGGAGGAGTGATAGGAAATGAGGTAGGAAATGTAGGTAGTTTTCCTACATTGAACCATCCAACCAGCACCTTAAACCTGGACCGCCACCTCTCTTCTCACCATGGCTCACCACGAGACACCGTGCGAGAATGGCCTCTCGGCGTTAATGTCACTTCGTAAACGGTTACTAAGGCAAGTTAGCAGTTACACTAATGTGACTGTGAAATCCTCCACGCAATGTGTTTTATAGTGAGGATGCATTTAAGTAATTAAAAAATGAAAAATAAACCAAGTTCATAAACCCCTGGGGAGCCATTTTTTCTGGTTCCTCTCAGATTCTCCTTATAACGAAAAACTTTCAGGTTAGTTGGTAGTATTTAATGTTGCAAATCTCTTGGATATAAATCTAACAGAAAGTAGCATAGAGAGACCGCCCAAGTCATAGGTAGAGGGGGACAAAAAAAAAGTCAAGAGACTGGGACTGTAGGTGTGACTCTTTTATTAACCACCTATTTCCTCCCAACCTCCTGACCCCTCTCAGGCCCTCAGATTCCCTACGAAAAAGGGGGGGAGGGGGCGGCGGAGCCTGCAGGTGTTCAGTGAGGTCCTTTCCTACCTTAACATTTTATGGTTCTAAATAACTTTAGAATTTATTATTATTATTATTATTATTATTATTATTATTTTTACTATTTTAAGCCTTGCAAGCATTAACCTGGTGTTTTATCACAATTCTTTTAGAAGAAAAGAGGAAGTTACAGGATGTATACTGAAGGTAAACATTTATGTTGTAGATTGACCCGCACTTTGGAACGATGTGGACTTTTCACACCACAAGAGATGAGTCTCTCTTGCTAGAGAGCAAGCAAGCTTCCCGAAAAGAACGTTTTAAATATATTTTATTGATTTTTTTTTTTTGCACACCCCCTACCGAGGATGTGCCCGCAACCAATGTACATGCCCTTGACCGGAATCGAACCTGGGACCTTTCAGTCCGCAGACCCGACGCTCTACCACTGAGCCAAACCGGTTTCGGCCGAAAAGAACGTTTTAAACCTCCCATCCCGTGCACCCAAGAGCAGCCGGACACCATGGGAATGGCAAATGAGTTGGCACCACCGCTCACCTACGAGTTCTCCAACCATGAACAGCAAGTACAGCACGGCGGCGATGGTCAGCCGGGTCTTCGCCTTCCTCTGGGCCAGCCGCTCCCGGCGGCGGCTGCAGCTGGCGCAGGGGTCCGCCTTCAGGCTCAGGCGGCTGCGGGGCAGCGGCAGGTCCTGGTCCAGCAGCGAGTCGTCGTCGGCCTGGAGGGCCGGGTGCGCCCCGTTAGCAGGCCTCTCCGGGGCTTCGGGGCCGTCGTCGGCCACCACCACGCGAAGTTTGTTAAACCGGGAGAGCCCCTCGTCGCCCGCCTCGTCCGAGAAGTCGAAGGCGCTGGTGTCATTCAAAAACAGCGGCGCGTCGTCCTTCCGCAGCAGAGATTTGAGGCGCTTCCACGCGCCGGCCCCGGCCATGGCAGAGGCTGCGCGCCGCGCCGCGGAACGGCCCGCGGCTGCAGGGACCGCCGGCCGGCGGGGCGGCCCCTACCTCACCGGCGCGCCCGCTCCCGAGGGCGCCGCCGCGCGTCCCTCCCCATCGTGTGGGACCCGAAGCACGGTCGGAATTAAAGGCGCCCCATCGCAGCCCGCGAGTGGGTGCCGGAGCCCGGGCGGCGGCGGGGGGCGCAGGGCGGGCGCGGAGGAGGCGCCGCGGCTCCGCGAGGGGGCGGCGCGTCGGTGTGGGGCGCCGCCGCGGGGCCGCCGCTCATCTCCCCGCCCCCGCTCGGCTGGGCTCGGCCCGGAGCCGCGGGGGAGCGGGGCCGGTCTCGCCTGCAGCGCCCGCAGCGCCAGGCCGGCTCCGCGGGTCTGACAGGTCCGCGCCCCGGCGCCCGCGGCCACCGCCTCTCCCCGCCCTTCCCGAGCCCGCTCGCCCGCGCGCGCGCGCGCGCGCGCGTGCGCCGGAGCGGCCGAGGGCGAGGCGCGCGCGGGAGGGGGCGCCGCGGGGACGCGCGGGCCGGCGCGCAGGGGCGCTTGCTCTGCGTCCCCGGGCCCCTCGCCCGGGTCCCGCCGGTCCGGTCCCGCGCGCCCAGCCCTGCGAGGGGTTCCCAGCCCCGCGGGCCCTCCCACGTCCCCTCGTGGGGAGACAGAGGATGGGGCCCCGCTTGGCCTGGGAATTCGCTCTACGGAACCAGGGCCTGGAGGGGGGGGGGAGGGGCGGGGAGGGGGAAGCGAGGGTGGGACCTTGGTGGGGGAAACCCATTTAGCTCCATTTGTGAGTGGGAAGTCAGGCAGCTCCTCTCTCCCCAGTTGCTGCCTCTCGCTGGCAAATTGGCCAAGGTCAACTCGGCGAGGGCAAGGTGTATAGGATCGTCAGCTGCTCTGCGCCTAATATATAGTTATTATTTTTAAAAATCAAATGTGCGTTGTTCTCTTTGTGCTCACACTCCACCTTCCTTTTGCCTCCAAGTACCGGTAGTCACAATATGAACTAAACCCAACCAAAGAAAATCTAGTAGAAATATCTGTTCTGGTCCTTAGTTCTGTTTAATAAGAAGTTAAAATTCATTAAGTTCTGAAAGGAGGTTCAAATTTAGATCTAAATCTTAATGGAATGGCGTTCCCTCCATCACCACCACCACCACGTTGATTCCTTGGAAGGATTTTAGGAATTTGGGAGGTCTTAAACATATGAGCAAAATTTTGTGGACATATATATATATATATATTTTTTTTTTGTTAGTAAGTCCCTTAGGCTTCATCATATTCTCAAACGGGGTTAAATCTCAAATAAAATTTAATACAGCAATAATAATAATAAAAAAAAGACACTGTCAGGAGAAATTATCATTTAGATCAAATCTAGCTTCTACTTGGAGTTGAATTATAGTGCAAACTCCTATTTATCCAATGTTTATAAATATTGTATTTTTGTTACTTTCCCCCCCATGGTTTTTTTTTAATATATATATTTTATTGATTTTTTACAGAGAGGAAGGGAGAGAGATAGAGAGTTAGAAACGTTGATGAGAGAGAAACATCGATTAGCTGCCTCCTGCACACTCCTCACTGGGGATGTGCCCACAACCAAGGTACATACCCTTGACTAGAATTGAACCTTGGACCTTTCAGTCCACAGGCTGATGCTCTATCCACTGAGCCAAACCTGATTGGGACCCCCCATGGATTTTTAGAGTTGAAGGGAGAGGGAGAGAAAGAAACATTGATATGAGGGAGACACATCAATTATATGCCCTTGACGACAATCGAACCCAGGATCCTTCAATCTATAGGCCAACACTATATCCACTGAGTCAAACCGGCAAGTCTATAAATGTTGTATTTTTTCAAATTTTTTATTGATTAAGGTATTACATGTGTCCATATCTCCCCATTGCCCCCCCTCGCCACCTCACTCCCATACATGCCCTCACCCCCCAGTATAAATGTTGTATTTTTAAAAATATATATTTTTATTGATTTTTACAGAGAGAAAGGGGGAGGGATAAAGAGTTAGAAACATCAATGAGAAAGAATCATTGATCAGTTGCCTTTTGCACACTCCCTATTGGGGATGTACCCACAACCAAGGTACATACCCTTGACCAAAATCGAACCTGGGATCTTTCAGTCCCAGGCCAATGCTGTATCCACTGAGCCAAACTGGTTAAGGCTACTAAATGCATTTTAACAGTAGTCTACATGGATCATCAAATTTCAAGTTACAAAAAATATAACAAAAAGTCTTAAGAAACATCATTTTCCTCTGAAGATTCAGATGACACTTTAGAATTTTACGTCTCAGGTGCCAGAGTACCAACCACTTTTAGATTCCAGAATAGCCCCTCACTTTTGAAGGCCCGCAATATTCTTAAAGCACTGTAGCAATGGGAAGTCAGGTTAGGAAACCTGGATCAGAGATCCCAAGGTTCCCAAGACCCAGAATATTTAGTTCTCATGGCATTTAGGTCATTGTCAGCAGAAGGTAGAGAGCTTACTGAAGGTTGTTTTCCTAACTCCAAATATCTTAATCCACCCATTTGGGAGTAGGTTGTTATTTTTAATGTGTTTATTCTACTGCCTGAAATTCTAACGATACAAATAAAGAAGCAAATATTCCAGGGGTGTGATAGCTTTCCAGTGTAAATTCTTCACATGAGATTCCTTATAAAGAAAAGGGAGAAATGTTTTCTAGAAAAGTCGGGGTGAGAGTATTTTTTTTAATTTAATTTTTAGTATTTACAGTAAACTTTATTGGGAAGTTCTACATTCCAATTTATTTTAACTATTTTGTATAACTGGGTACCTAAAGAGAGAGCTGGGAGGACAGCCAAAAGCTCCATGGAGATTTTAGGATAGGTTCAAAAATTCCGTGATAGGATCCCCCTCAAGAGGTGAAGGTTACTTCCCCCTCCCATTGAGTGTGGACTGCTCCTTCATCAACAGCTCAGAGGTCATAATGAGCAGACTCTGGCAGGAGTGACAGTGTGTGACTTACAAGATGAGGTCACAAAAGGCATTGCAACTGCCTTCTTGTTCTCACTCTAAGGTCACTTGGACGGGGGAGCTAGAGCTACCATGTCATGAAGACTCAGGCTTCCTGCCAACAGCCATGTGAGTGAGCAATGTTGGAAGCAGATCCCCCTAGTGAAGCCTTCAGATGACTGCAGTCTGGATGACAACTGAAACCTCACCTTGAGCAGATCCTGAGCAGAACTACCCAGGTAAGCCATTCCCAGATGACCCACAGAGTCTGTGAGATAATAGATATGTATTGTTTTAGTATGGTGAGCTTTGGGGTAATTTGTTACAGAGAAGCAGATAACTAATAGACTCTATGTCAACTTTCCTTTGGACCAGAAAAGATACTTTTCTTATTCTTTCATCACATGGACTCTTGTCCCTAGGCCTACCTTTGGGTTAGCGGCATGGTTTTTTTTGTTTGTTTGTTTGTTTAATCGTTGAACTTAAAATGGGCTAATAGACTTCTGTGAATAGGTTTGGAATGTAACCATTATTTTCAATCTTATGTCTTTGTATTCAGAGCTTATCACAATAGACAAATGTACTTTTGAAATATAACTTCATAAAGGACCTATATGCAGAAAACTACATGACACTGAAAAAAGAGATAGAGGAAGATGTAAAGAGATGGAAGAATATACCATGTTCATGGATCAGTAGAATCAACATCATCAAAATGTCCATACTTCCTAAAGCAATCTATAGGTTCAATGCACTCCCCATTAAAATACCAACGGCATATTTCACCGACCTAGAAAGAACTCTCCAAAAGTTCATTTGGAACAATAAAAGACCCCGAATAGCCACAGCAATCCTGAGAAAGAAGGGTAAAGTAGGAGGGATCTCAATACCAGACTTCAAACTGTATTACAAAGCCACTGTTCTCAAAACAGCCTGGTACTGGCACAAGAACAGACATATAGATCAATGGAATAGAATCGAGAACCCAGTTATCAACCCAAATCACTATGCTCAATTAATATTTGACAAAGGAGGCACGAATATACAATGGAGTCAAGACAGTTTCTTCAATAAATGGTGTTGGGAAAATTGGGTAGACACATGCAAAAGAATGAAACTAGATCACCAACTTACACCATACACAAAAATAAACTCAAAATGGATACAGGACTTAAACATCAGACGGGAAACCATAAAAATACTAGAAGCATCCGCAGGCAGCAAAATCTCAGACGTATGCCAAAAGAACTTCTTCACTGATACTGCCCCTAGGGCAATGGAAGCTAAAGAGAAAATAAACAAATGGGACTACATCAAAATAAAAAGTTTTTTTACAGCAAAAGAAACCATCAACAAAACAACAAGAAAGCCCACGGTATGGGAGAATATATTTGCAAATAATACCACGGATAAAGGTTTAATCTCCAACATCTACAGACAGCTGATACAACTAAATAAAAGGAAGATGAATGATCCAATTAAAAAATGGGCAATGGACCTAAATAGAATATTTACAAAAGAAGACAGAAAGAAGGCCAAAAGGCACATGAAAACATGCTCAAAGTCACTAATTATCCGAGAGATGCAAATCAAAACAACAATGCGGTACCATCTCACACCTGTCAGAATGGCCAACATCAACAAATCAACAAACGACAAGTGTTGGCGAGGTTGCGGAGAAAAAAGGAACCCTCGTGCACTGCTGGTGGGAATGCAGACTGGTGCAACCACTGTGGAGAACAGTGTGGAGTTTCCTCAAAAAACTGAGAATGGAACTCCCATTTGACCCAGTAATCCCACTTCTTGGAATATATCCCAAGAAACTAGAAACACCAATCAGAAAGGATATATGCACCCCTATGTTCATAGCAGCACAATCTACAATAGCCAGAATCTGGAAACAGCCGAGGTGCCCGTCAGCTGATGATTGGATCCAAAAACTTTGGTACATCTACACAATGGAATACTATGCTGCCATAAAAAAGAAGGAATTC